TCTTTGTTGATTATATCAATCCATCTTCTGCTTTTTGGCCTTCCTCACATGGTCTTTTACCTTTAACTGAGGCATTCATTTTTACGTAGAGGCTTCCAGATGGATTGTTACGAGCTCTATGCCCCCCCCATCTTAACCTCCGTGCCTTGATATCATGTGATATTGATTGACCAGTTTCTGTAAGCAGTTCTTTATTAGTCCTTCTTCTCTATGTGTTAGTAATCTTTCAACACTCCAAGTCTCACAGCCGTATATTAGAACTGGCTTTATCATAGCATTTTTCACCCTTATTTTGAGATTTTTGGAAATTTCAATACCTTTGAGAGGGAGAAGAAACTCTGTTTGCTTTAGTTATACGCTGGTCTGAAACAAACCAGTTTCTGCCCGTTGGTCCATATTCATTGAGGTTATTGTGGAGCCGAGATATTTGAATTTTTCTACTCTCGGGAATGCTTTTCCTGTTATATATATGTGTAATATATTATGTTTAATTTACTATGCCAATCCCTCCTTCCAAGGCTGTCAGGGATATTGTCATAATAATTCTGCTTTAAGAGCTGGTGAAAATTTATTGCTGTGGACTGTAAAATTAGAGGAGTTAGTGGATCAAAGAAGTGAATATGTAAAATTGATTGCTTTATTTTATACATTTAATTTGATACAGAGGTTAAATATAGGTGAGTTGGGATACTTGCATTTTCTCTTTTCTTCTATTTGCCAGTCTTCTTGTTCATCTTCCCTCTCTCTTCCTTTCTTGGCCCCTTTCCTGTCGATGTAGTTTTTTACTCCATATTCATCAAAGGAGTGGAATTACGAATATTGAAACTGGCCAGTCTAGTTATTCTGTCACGCTACGTGTGCGTCTACGCTTCAGTAATGGCGGCGTCACAATAACAATTGAGGTTCTTGACAATTTGACTTAACAATTTCTTGATTTAATTCAAATTAAATTTAAATATGAATTTTGATGTGTTCCCTAAACATATTATACTACTCAAACCCATATTGACATAGACCTTACAAATTTACGGTTCAGCAAGAAAGACGCACTCATCTACATTCTTATCAAGCCAAAAAATACTCTGGTACACAAAGAAGGCATTAAAGACAATTAAAAGGGATTAAACAGATTACAGACAATTAATCCGATTTAAGTTGGAGTTGATTAGGAAAGTATATATAGTAAGAACGATTTCAGAACAAATATATAAAAAGAGAAAAATATTTTTTTTAATCTATTCTAGGTAAACAATGTTATGTAACTTATATCTGTTAAATTCAATTATTCAAAGTTCAATTCAAAGGTTAATTTGTTTAAAGTTATGGGTGTCTTTTAATTTTACTAATTGAAGTTATATAGATTCAAACTGTGAATGGAAGTATGTAGGCTGTGATTGGTGGTATCGGCATCGAACTTTCGAATTTATTAAACTTTTGTTATTGTTATCATATCTATCCATCTCTCTTTCTCTGTTTAAACATAGAGAAATAGGCTTTTTTTTTGTTTGGTTTATTCTTTTAGTAAATTCATTCTTTATAAAAATGTAATGAAGGCTCGAAAAGAAAGGAGTATAGAAGGAATTGGCGAGGACACAATTTTTGACTTTGGGACATTGTTTGAACTAGTATGAATGTAAGCATACGAAAAGTCCCCACTCCTAGCTGGTGAGCCTGATGTGGGAGGAGGCGCCTAGAAGATCACTTGTTTCATGTTTTCGCTTAGTTCTAGAAAACTATCCATCGCATCGAAAAAGAAAACCCAAAATATAGCGATATACATGAAGGGGCAGGGTGGCCGAGGGAAATAATGCGTGTGTATAGCACCGCGCGTTGCCCAGCAACCAGATAATCTAAGTCGTGAAATAAAAATTAATTACGATTTCGCATATCGGTGCCGGACTCTTAATACCCGTATAAAATACCCGTATAAGCCTGAAAGGCTAGGAATGGGAGAACAAAAAAAAATAAGCATGAGGCAAAAATTGTTATTCAAAATTAGCCATAGTTGAGGACGAATATCTTGGAAACTAAAAAGGTACATAATTAATCGAATTGAAAATTTTATCAGCTTTAATATTGTTTAGAACGTCTTTGTCGATGCGATGGATAGTTTTCCTAATATTAGCGAAAACCCGAAATAAATTACTCAGGCTCTCCCTCACATCTGGATTGGCACCTAACAGTGAGGACTTGTGTCCCAATGAAATGTCCCAAATTCAAAAATTGTGTTCCCGCTATTTCCTTTTGTAATTATTCATTAACTGAACTATAAATAAAGTTTTTTTTTGTTTGTTTTTAATTTATTTATTTAGAATTATAACAATCTGTCACGTGGACAATAGTTTATAGTGATACTTGAACACATTCACACCATATGTACAGAAAATGTAAAATTAACAAAAGTAAAATAATAATAAAAAACTATGTACAATAAAGAAAAGAAAATAACCTAAAAGTAAGTAAATTAAAAAAACATAAAAACAGAGTCATACCTATATACAAAAATGAAGTTCAAGAAATTTTCGAAAAGAAAATATTAATATCGCGTTTCCATTAAATAATTTTCTTAGATTTGCGAAAAAATGTTCTTGCCTTTATTTTTATTCATTTTTCATTGAATGATATTATTTTTTGTTAAGATAAAAAATATTGTAGTCGTTTTTGATCTAATAGTATCCACTAATTTATTTTATTTTTTCAAGGTTTTTTTAATATTTAAATTAATTATACTTAAGTTATACCACTCTCATATCTGTGATGCCAATTGTATCATTCGACATCTCACCCGCTTATAGTTGCAGACTGAATGATTGTTGTCGATATAAAAAATTATTCTTATCAAACAATAATTAACAATTCTTGCATATTCAGGTCAACGACTCCTGAACAGCATAAAATAATTTAAATTAAATTAAAAATAAATTATCAAATGGAAGGTATAAAGATACTTTATAGTTAAACTTTTTTTTTTTTTTGTACTGTGTAGATGCATTATCTCCCCGATCTCTCATATATATTACCATTTTATAATGCTCAAGTGGTACGCAGATAGAAGTGGCGTTTTTATAGCCGTAGGCGTTTTATAAAACTATAAAAGTGAGATAAAACTATAAAAAGCTCGAGAGAGCGAGAGAGCGGGAGAGGTGTTGGCTGCTGCGCGCTGTAGTGAGGCCGACTTGGGGCTATCGATCTTTTTGATGTAAAACCGCAGTCAGTCAACCTCCTTAGCGGCTCATTCATTAATTAACTTAGTGTCAACATCCATGATTTACCTAGTAATTAATAATTAATTAACATCGATATGTTAACTCGTATGATATTTCTTTATGTTATGAGATTATAAAATAAAATTTCATTATTACCGATTAACGACATTTAAGTCAGCTGTTTGTTATTGAACTTAGTTTTATTTATGCCTTTTTTTTTGGCGCTAATAAACAAATAAATTTCATTGTATTCTTTTAAAATAAAATAATTATTAGTTATTAAAAAGAAATTTTAAAAATACCTACCTATTTTTGTGAATTCATAAAATAAATCTATAAATAAATAAATTTTCATATAAAAAAATCTAACATAATTTATATTTTATTTCCTCCTTTTTATCTTATACAATAAAAATATATGCACACATTTAATATTCCAGTTACTTATGACCAATATATACTAGAAGTGCACACCGCTTTATTTTGGTTTATTATTTTCAATAATCAACCATTGTGATCGACCAAAAATTCAAAAACAAAAACCCCCTCTCGAAATTTGAGGTTTCACATTTCAGGATGCGTAGAATTCGAAAAATGAATAAAAAAATTTTTGTCCGTTCCGTCGTACGGCGTACGTCTTCCGCGCATTTTCTCCGAAACTACTGGACCTATTTTTTTTTTCAAATTTGGATATAAAATCAGAGGTCACCCGAGGATGATCCTCCATCATCGACATTACTATCAGCCTTTTACTTTCAAAATGGCGGCCGGAAAACCTGCGTTGCTATGGACTGTAGTTCCTAAACGAATGTACCGATTTCAATGAAATTTCGCTCAAGTCATTTTCTTGACGCCCATTAAATGTATCTATAAAACATACTTCAACGAAAAGAAGCTGGAAAAAAAGTTACGAGGGATAGTAAAATCATATTCCGAATAACTCACAAAGTATACACTTTTTTGTTGATATTGTATGGTATGTTTTTTAAAAGGTTATGGAATTTCCTAAAAATACAACAAAAAAATCGTTAAAATCGGGCAATTAGGAGCAAAGATATGGTATCCAGTTTTTTTTTTTTAATATATTCTACTCCAAATATTATATCCTTTGTTTGCTTTGTAAATTTTGAATGTGTTAGTGAAGTAACGCTATTTTTTTTAGCATATTACTAATAATTAAAAAAAAGTTTAGTCCAGTAATTAGAATTACCTTTTATTTATTTTTCTTTGTAACTAGGAAGATAATGTTACTTTAGATGTATAGTTGTTTGGAAATAATATGCAGCGTTTTTAATTAAGATCCACAATAATGCTAAACAGTAAGAACATGACTGCTTATTGAAAATTGATTACACTCATAATATTTGTGTTTGTTTTGAAACTCTGTTGAGGCTTAACCACTGATCTTGGAATAATATTTACTGTCGAGATTTTATGTTGAAAACAAAAATTCCGAAGATACGAATGTTGAATTTTCTACGGTAAAGCTGTAAGAAAACATGGAATTCCCTTTTTCTCGAAGTACGAAAAATATTTATAACGGATCATAGACGAGCAAAAAAGTGAGGATAAAACAGGAAATTCGACGAAGAAGGAGTACCCGAGGAGAGACTAACTACCTCACAAGATATTCAGAGAAGTTTGAGGATTGGAAGTTTCGTCCCGCACCATAAGGAAGAAACTTAAGGGCGTGAGGTTTCGGTACAAAAAATTAACTATGTCATTCCGTTATCACAAACTAATCTGTTGAGAAGGTTAGAACTGTCATGAGCTTGATTGGGTTCACGAAAGCAAATGTTGACTAAAACTGCGTTACCAGTGAAAAAATATTTTCTAAGTAACGCCTCTGACAATGAGTATTCCTTTGTAGAATGTGGTTCAGCAACAAGCCTAAATAGTCATAATAAAAATAGAAACTGAAATTATAACTTTTTTTTAATTATAGAGGGTGTGGGGTAGCTCAGTGGTAGGGTACTGAGCTTCCAATGCTTAAGTTCCCAAGTTCGAACCCCGGCTCGGAAATTTATTTATTTGTTTATTTGGCCGTGGGGAGACCCTCCTGGGTCACATCCAGCCTCTATAAAGTGGGTACCCTTAATTAAATAATTAATTGAGGGGGGAAACCTGACAGTTGAGCGTGATCTCGGTGAAATCACCTCCTTGCACAACTGAACTAGAAACAGTGCTTTCCCTAAATAGTACTGAACCCGAGAGCCTTCATGGGTTGTAGTTGTATAGCTTTTTAAAATTATAACTTTATACACTATCATACTATTATCTTATTATAGTTATATCTAAACAGTAAAGTATTCGTTTAGCTTCAAGATTTTTATTCATATGTAGCATTTATTTTGTATATTATTGTTGTTGCTTTTATTGAATGATTTTGAAAATTATTGTTTATCTATTTTTTATGTATTTATTTATGGTTTGTTTTGGTTTCTAGGAGCAAAAGCAGGAGCGTCGATCATGGGACCACTGCTCCATTCGACTTGGAGAGCCTCAGGTCCAAGGTCGAAGGCAGGTTTCAGAGCCTTGATAAACTCACAAGAGCTGGAGGTATGTAAATATTGCAATATCATTTAACAAAAAGTTTCAATTTATTTATATATTTTTTATCTATAACACCAAATTTTATAAAAAGTTGTATGTTAAAACTATTCATAAAGTTTATTTGTCAGAGCTGCTAAAAAATATAATGAGGAGAACACATCATAAAATTTTCATGTAGCATTCTAAGTAAAAATAAATTTAAAATAGATCAACAACCAATTATAAAAAACAATAATCTAATGCAATATTAGTCCGTGGTATAGACCCCCTTTCTATCAAATGATTAACGAAACTTCGTAAATAGCTTCATCTCATCATAACCTACAAATATTTTATTTACGAAAATTCTGGGAAGTTTGGTGTTTTCAATCTGGAGATCGGCAAACTTTGTCTATTTAATTAGGTACTAAAAACTCGTAAATACACATTTGCTTTCCACTTGATCGTAAAATAATTTCATCACACAATCGATTAAAAAATGGTGACCTAGAAAAATATTTTATCGTTTGCCCTGTATAACCTCGCTATTTTGACAATTTGGGTGTGTAGGTCATGCCAAACGGCTCAATATTTTTTAGGCCACCTTTTTCTCAAATTATCTTACGATTACAGTGTAAAGAAATGAGTATTTATGAGTTTTTAGTATCTAATTAATAGAAAAAGTTTGCCGATCTCCAGATTGATTCCGAGAATTTTCTTAAATGTAATAGTTGTAGGTTATAAAGCTATTTACAAAGTTAAAATAATTTTATAAAAAGATATCTGTACCACGGACTATATATTTTTGTTGTGTGTCAAACTGATGATAAGTTTACATGAAAAGTTTTCATTTTGTTGCTACGGAAATTCTTTTTTAGTTCTATGAAAATATTTATGGAAAATATGTTGGTTGGAGTGTCCAGTCAAACGCAAATGTCAAATTAAATAAATTATATATATTTTTTTTTTATGTTTTTCTTTGTTTGACTGAACTCCTCGTCCAATCTCTGTTCAATATATTCACGACAGTCAATTATTTACTCACTATCATGGAAATATTTATTTTCTATTTAACAATATAAATTTAGAAATTATTCAACACCGCAATGTTTTCATCACTTTCCATTATCTTATCGACTTAATATGTTAATTTTTTTTAACTAAATATCGTATTCTGTATTACAACTGTTATTCCAAAAATCCATTTAAAGCCTCGGAAATATTTGTATTAAATAGACAAAGTTTACCCCGGCCTTTATATTGAAAACGCCCCATTTCCTGAAATTATTGCAAATATAATAGCTGTAGGTTACGATGAGATGAAGCTATTCACAAAGTTCCAGAAGGATGTTAATAATTTTATAAAATGTGATCTGTACCTGGGACTATACAGTAATAGTATTCTTTTTCTATAATACAATAAGTAGTGGTTTTCATACACCTCATATTTTGATTCTTATGCTGATAACATTGATTCCATTGAATGTTTTTTTTCTTTACTTATTAAGGTTACAAGAAAACTATAACAATGTATCTTAGTTCAGTTTTAACTAATTTAAGAATAAAAGCTGTAATTATGATGTGTATCAAAAAATATTAAAATTGTAACGTTACATGAAGTAAAGGATTTTCACGAAAAATAGTAACGAGGATAGCGTACCACCAATCAATAGTAGTCATAGTTTCGAGAGAGAAATAAAAGGCAACATCGAGCGAAAGAAAGAAACTGAGAAGAGGGAAAAACAAAGGAACAATTTGACCGCTTAATGGTGTGGTTGTTTTTAGAATATCGTTTCATAACTGGCAAAGAAATACCGGAGATCTTGCATTAGCAATCGGGTAAATAAAAAAAAATATATATTTATTCTGGATGGTGCAATTTCCATGACCAGGACTGTTTACTATTGAGGAAAATATTCAGTGTAGATAAATAAGGAAGCATCTTGAGGGTATTTTATTCTCCTTAGATGAGGTTATCCGGACTGATGGATATTGTTTATTTTGGTTATTTGTTTCTGAAATAGGAAACATTCAACGATTTTAGTGCTATCGGCATCGAACTTCTGGGTTCTCCAAATTATTTATCCTACGAAACTAATTCATAAAAAAGATGAACTGTGTAACGCTCTACAAGAACTGGTGCTTACAAAGTCTTCCTTGTATGTATAATTCACTCCAAGCGTTTGGATTCTACAAAAACCGAGAGTGGTGAAGCCTTCCTTATACCGGAGTGGAGATGCCGATCTTGAAGGGATAAAGGATGCCGGATTTCTTTGTTATCAGGAGTAGATGGCCATCACGGCAATGGCCGTGTGGATAATAGGCCGCAGAATGGCTCCTCTCTTCGCCCACTTCTTCCTCTCATATCTGTCAATTACACCAATTCAAGCCTTCGCTTCAATTTTTATACTTTTTCTTTTCGAGCTTTTTTTCTAATATTTAATTTATTGAATTTTACAAAAAAAAAAAATAAAATATATATATATATATATATATATATCAATTAAATGTGTCAAATTGTGATGAAAAAGCACACGTATAAAAAATAATCTATCTTGGGAGGATAGGGGAATAACACTTGGGATTTTTGCGAATACAATGATTTTTACTGGACAAAAACAAGATAGTTCAAATATATGTTAGTCAAAGAGAACATAGAGATAATCTCTAGTTGCACAAAAGAGAAGAGGAAATGGATACATCAATGTTAGAAAGAAGAATGAAATTTCTGGGATATATAGTCAGGCTAGATAAAAAAATTTATTTTTTTTTAAAATTTTTATTATTGAAATTTACAACTGTATAATGATAAATACAACTAGTAACTATGAAATAAGTAACTTAACATGTACAACATGAAGAGAAATTACCCATTGATAGCACTTTAATTTAAAAAAATGTATATATTAAATAAGAAAATTGTTCTCTCACTACATTTTGGCTATAGGTCGAATCGCTTAAAATGTTGATTATTCTTCCCCCTCTTCAACGTATAATATGCCCTAGAAAGGGATATGTCCTAATTAATGTTTGGCCAATGGTTAAAACTCAACAATACCAAACTTATTAATAGACTTGAAGAATTCTGCGGTATATTATATGCTGCAGAGAGGGCCAAAGATTTTCCGAAACGTACATTAATAACGAATAATCAACAAGCAATGGCTGATTATTTTGTTTAATTGACCTATAAGGGAAAATAATGAGAAGATGACTTAGTAAAAAGTATCAAAATTGGAGAATGGTAAGAAAATTGTTGATATAGTCAGTGCTCGTTTGCAAGAATATAAAGTGTTATTCAGAACATAAGATAGTAAATTTAGGGATGACTATTTGGCTAGAATGGATTTATTTGCAGTGGAAAGGTTAAGAAGAATTAAGTGGTGGAGGGGAAAGCACCAATCACCGAGGGGATGAGGGAGATGTATAGGAAGAGAAAAAAAAGACTAAAAAAGAATAAGCGCTAAGGCGTAAAGTGGCGAAGCGTATTAAAACGTAAACCTTATCATTCTCGAGTCCAGCTACGCCAGTTCGAATCTGGCCTGGGTGGTTTGAAATTTATTTCGTGATAGACCTACAGAATGAGTATCGAACTCATCCCCCTTCCTTATGCCAGAAATACAATAGAGGGGGAGAACCAAGCAATATTTACGCGGTATAGAGTTAGCCTATATTGCGACGAAAACAATTTAATATTTTGGAACAATGACGTCTAAGGAAACTGCGATTGGGTAGTTTTTATTCAATATTTTCTATGCTAGAAGGTCACAGGGTTATCTTATTGTAAATGTCTTGCAGGGAAGGGTTCTCATCCCCCAATAGCGCAAGAACCTATTTCCTCCTCCCCCTTCCTCTCAAGATATTTTATTGCTCATCTTAAAAATAGAGCAAGATAAAGTATAATCAATAAAATCGTATATCATATAGAATTACACGTGTTGCGGTATACTCCATGTTTTCCCCTTAGTCCGAAAATTCATAACCCCGTTGAAATTTGTCCCACTCAAAAATTCAAAAACCCGGTCAAAATATGCTTCCTTAAAAATGCAACTTGCTCCACGAAACCCCCTCTGGGCATCCCTGTGTTCCATCCAAATATGTTTGGACTGACAGATTTAATTTTGTACGTTATTTTGTCGTATATTATATAAAGATATTTTACACTATTAGAGGAAATCGATAGTTTCTGGAATATCATGCTTAAATTCGCAAATTCGAAAAATAATGATAACTCCAATTTAAACAGTTTTGAGTAAAATCATTTTAGTAATATTTCTAGTTGGTGAATTTATATTATCTCTACAAACAGTGAGTAAGTTGATTGCAATGTTGAAATATAAAACTGTGATACATTTTCTCAATAGAGATAGTACTAAAATTAATAATAAAAAATGTGGAAATTGGAGTTAGTCATTCTGTCAACTAAAAGGATCATATGTAGATGATCTTCTTTGTACTAAACTGGAAATGATCTCTCCGATTGGAACATAATAAGATTTGATGGAGGTGCTACCAATCACTGTTTATTCCTTTAAACACCTCAAATCCAGCCTGTATTGAATTTATTCCCCAATAGTATAGTTCAGAATATAAGGTCGTTCCAAGCTAGACGGTGATATTATTTTTTTAGTAAATAGTTCGTTTGACCGTAGTATTTAAGCTTTCAGAAATATTCAATGCGAGAAAAGGAGATTTTTTCAAGGTCACTTGCCTCTTATAATGACTTTTACTATTTAAGCTCACCCATCAGCCATAAACCTCTTGCGATGTTGTCACTTTTAATACGATAGGCTTTATAAGTTGAGTAGCTTGTTTTTCATTAAGACATTTACATATTTTTAAAAATCCTAAAGTAAGCAAACAAGTCCCAAATTAATATTGAATCTTGTGGAGTACATACTTCAACAGAACTCATGTGATGAAGAATCTACTAATCTCCATTTTGCTCTTGGTGAAATATGTTGGTAACTTGTAGAATAACTCTCCTTTTTAGCTTAAACAGATATTAATGTATGTAATCTTCAGTATATCATATACAGAATATAATATTCTTTATATACTACGTTTCGTTGATCCCCAAGTATGTTAGCATGCTGGAAGTAATTCATTGTTATAGACCTTACTACGTGCAAAGGTCGCGTGTCTTTCGGAACGTCATGATGACCACATTAAGGACGATTTTCTCCGGAGGACGCATAGGTGTTATTACGCCCTACCGTCCTTGAACCAACCATAATCGATAAATCTCTACCGACATGTCATTGGTCTTGTGGAGGATTTGTCGTCTGCAGGGTGACGAGTTGTTTAGTTGATGGCCTGCTGTTGTAAAATTAAACATTATTATTTAATTAATTTTTCTTAATTAGTTTTCCATAACGTTCAAGGGTTACAGAAAGAGAATCATAGCAGGAAAAGAAACATATTTGAGGCTCTCCCTATTGCATAGATTAGATAATTGGACTGACTGTAGACATTTGAATAATTTTTATTATGAAACGTTGAACATCTTGAATAAATCAATATATATATATATTATTACATATTGGTCTTAATAAAAATAGCTATTTTCTTTTAAACATTGTGTAATCAGCTGTTTTTATATAATAACATTCCTAACATGTGCATTTTCATTTTTTTTTTCTTATGTATTTATTATTTATTTTCGTATTATTTCTTTGCTTATTTTTCTACGTAATTTTTGAGAAAGTGTTTTTGTGATTTTGGATTCTATAATTGAATGGTAACTCTTTTGGTAATTCTTAATTTTTGTTCATTTAGTCTGACATTTCAGATTTCTGATCCATCTTCAAAGACAATTTATTTTATTCTAGGTAACATAACAATTATTTCAAACATATTATCAAGAATAAGTATTTATTATTTATTTTCGTATTATTTCTTCACCTATTTTTTCATATATTATTTTTGAGGAAGAGGTATATTAATTCTAGGTTTTATAATTGAATGATAACTCTTCCTTTAGCAATTCTTTATTTTTGTTCCTTTAGTCTGACATTTCAGATTTCTGAACAATCTTCAAAGACAATTTATTTTATTCTAGGTAACATAACAATTATTTCAAATATATTTTCAAAAATAAATCTCCATTTATATTATAATAAAAAAAAACGCCAACCTCCATCTCATTGTCATACCATGCTTATTAACAATGCCTTTGAAGATTGAAACAATTTTTTTTTTTTCAATTAGGTCATTGATTAAAAGTCCGAAAAGTCAGACTAAATGAACAATACCAATACCAAATACCAATGGGCATGGTGCTTTTCAATCATAAAATCTAGTATTATTATTTTTTGTTTTTTTGGTTCCTATTTATGTATTTTGGTTCTTGAGTATATGTTTTAATAAACTTTTTTTCTAATCAGCTGCTTGAATTTAATCTTTCTCAACTGTGTTACGTCATTTTTCTTCCAGTATGCGATTGGTTGTCATGGAGTGATGACCTTGAGTTTCTTTTCTTTTCTATCTTCATGATGCGAATGAATATTATGCTCATACATGTTGTTAGTACTATATAATTGTATATTTGTTTTGGAAAATTGTCTGTAGCGATTAATAAGTATGCTGTGTTTAAAGCAACCCAATGTAATTGGGCAGCACCCTTTTATGATAATAAAGTGATTCTCTCTCTTCATGATGCGAATGAATTGGCGAATGATTAGTTGATGGTTCATTCTATTCACTACTTGCATTTGACAAACGCAATGCTGTATGGTTTAAACTTTCCAATTATAAACTAACATTATTATTTAATATTTTGCCATCCCTAATTGCTCTTATTTTCAGCAATCAATTTATCGTTTCTTTTGTAGTGCAATGTTTGCGTTAATTAATTTATTAATACCTAGTATCTGAAAGCAGATTATATTATGGATTTTAGAACTATTAGTAGAAATTCGTTCAGGATTTAAAAATCGTGTTAATGTTTATCATATTATATATTTTTTGTATGTTTGTATTAACAAGCAAAAGGAATTCTGTTATGGTGTTAATACTCCGATAAGGGGCAAAGGAAACAAAATGGGTTTGAATATTAGAAGAGAGAGGGATGATATGGCATTAGGTATGGATAGCCCACTATCGATTTCTGGAAGGGAGTTCACCCTCGTCTGTATTTTTCATGGCACCTGTACTTCCATCTTGATATACTCCGGTAATACGAAAAAAATCGTACTATTTATCGGAACATAGTTAATTTGAGGATTTTCAATTTACTCTAGTAGAGTTTTAAATCTTATTTACTTTCACGAGAGCTATTTAAAATCCTTCTATTTTTTTATTTTTTATTTATTTAGACATATAATTTTCTGTCACAGGGACAATAATTATATTGATAAATGAACACATTCACACCGTATATACAAAAAAGAAATAAAATTAACAAAAGTAAAATAATAACTAAATAATAATAAATAAAAACTATATACAATAAAAAAAAATAAAATAACCTAAATATAAGTAAATTAAAAACATAAAAGTACAGTCATACTTATATACAAAATCTTTCTATTAAAATTAATTTATTGCATTTTCATCAATGAAAACATCTTATAACATTTCTAACTCTTTTGGTCCATTTGCACGTCCAGATTACGTTTACATACTTCTTATGGTCATCAATTAAATTTAAATTTAATTAAATTTAATTTATTTTCATCATTACACACATATATATATATATATATATATATATATATATATATATATATATATATATATTATTATTATTTTTTTTTTATTGAAAAAAAGAGCCTGAAACCTAGTCAGATTTTTTACATACAGAAATATAATAAATTAATTTTAATTAAAATATTTAAAATATTGCTCGTAAAAGTAAATAAAATTATAAGAAATTAAATAAAGTTTCGCTAACTTATTTGATACATTCGTGATTAAAATGTGGTATCTAATACGTTTTATGAATACAAATTTTGTCAACTGGAGATTCCTTATGGCCTATATAACCTATGAAATCAGATAGTTGAGAGTCAATAGAAAATTATTTCTAAAGAATTCTGTTCATGTTGAGATATAGTAAAATTACTACTATGTATACGTTGAAGATAAAACTGCAAGCAATAATAAGAATGATTATTTAATCATGTAATGTATATTATAGTATACAAAAGATATAAAATATAATATTGTAAAAGCTAATTCTATGAGTTAACATGTTTTTTTTTTTGTCTAAGTGCCTGGAATATAAAACAGGAATATTTTATAAATAAGGAAATAAATATACCCGTAAAAATAGTAATATATTTGTATAAATTACTCTTAGTAAGCGTTTTTATACCATTTTATTATTCTTTTATTGAGTAGAAATAGTACTATTCGTTAAGTCTTTACTATGCAAGAGTATATAAAATTTAAATACTCCATTCCCATTTATTACTTATAGATCTGTGGTAGTAAAGAACATTTGACAGGAAAATAAAAATATTCAAGTAGAAAAATATCATTTCAAGCAAAAATAATCAAACTGTCTCCTTTGACGGGGTAAACCTATAAATGATTGAGTTTAATAGGTACTAAGCTTTCCTAAGTGTAGTAGTAATTTAAAGAGAAATTATTCAAAAATACATTCATTAAATGTTAGGTTCTGGTTGGTGAAACGCAAACACAAATTGAATTTTATTACTTTTATTATAATGTTATATGTATCATGTGTTTGTATGCCATGGAATGATGAACTATCTCATGTTTTTGTATCTTTTTTTTTTAATGTTGATGAGTTGTATTGTATTTGTATTTGTGGTGCATGTTATTTGTGCATGATGGTTTAGGTTGTTATATGTCCTGATGATGCCTGAATTGCTCGCAACAATTACACTTCTTTATTGTTACGAAGGTTTCTGTTCCTCCAGTACTCCTTCATAATGACGCTCCTGCTTACGTTCATCCGTCCAGGCTCTTATAGTGATCGTATTTCTTTCGGCATGAAACCTTAATAAACATTAAATCACGCTCCCTCCAAAAAAAAAAAAAGGTTCCCTATCCAACATCTAAACCTCCCATATGTTGAGCCTATACAAATTTTTAAGAATATCCTTTCGGTTAATTTGGTCTTGTTTTACACAGAGTAGTTTGTGTGATTAGGGGTTATCATGGCGCAAGATGCGCCATTAAAATTTTTGAGGGGACACATTTCGATGGAATTGTGAAAATTTGAAATACAAATTTTCAAACCAAAAAACAAAAAAAAGTATGAAACAGTCTGCAGGACTGTGTAATTATATGTAACCTACGAATTTTTAAATTCTACTTTCGCTTTCATTGTTTTTTAGAAGAGGAGAATAACAAAATATTTTGGAAAAGGTGATGGGCCTGTGTAATTGTCTGAGAAATGACGGCCTCATCTTTCTCAAGGTCTCCAAGATCTTACAGTTGTTGTTCTGAAGTGTCCAGCCTGTTTCAATTTGCATTAAACCCATGATTTTCCGTAATATTCTTTTTTCTATTATCTCCATCCTAGTGATTCACCCTTAGGCATTCGCTGGAAGACATGTATTCTGTTTTTACCACAACGTCGTTGTGTTTCTTTTTATCGTTTAATAAGATAAGATTTTCAAAGAAGCATTGCATTTCATTTTTTTTTTTAAACATATTTCTGCAAGTTACGAAGTACAAGTCTGAAAAGACTAATGAACAGCTGCGTAAGATTTGTGATCGGGGCCCCAAGATATTATCATGTCTCTCACCACTACGCTGAGTTAAAGTGGTTTTTCCCCTCCTTCCGAAGACAAAATTTCCTACGTACGTTCCTCTACCAAATCATCTACAACCTTCTCCAGTTCAAATCCTCAGTCCATTTCCTGTCCACAAGATCTGGACCTTCTAACCTTTACATGCCTTCTCACAGACCTGCTTCATTCCAAAACTCCTTTTTGCAAGCTCAGTCAATTTCTGGAATTCCCTCCCTATCAAAATTCGACATTCCTCATCTATATCCACATTCAAAACCCTCCTATTCCAATTCCTATCCCAAAAACAGTCAGATAGTTGCTAACCATTCGACAACTTACATTTATTTTATGCCATTCATTGTCAAATATAATGATAATGTATGTATATATTAATCAGGCACTTTATATTGTCAGATTCAGCTTTCAACAGCAGATTCATCTCAACAGAAACACAAAGCTTATTTTAATAAAGAATTTAATATGCCATTAATTATTAGAATTATTTTTTAATTCCTTATTTTTTTTTTGT